TAGGGCCCCTCTCAGGTCCAGGAAGCCCCCTTACCTCCTCTGTGGTGGGTACTGGCAGGGGGCTGGTGTCACATGTGCCCCTTCTCCCCTGCTGCTGCCCCTCACTGTAGCCTCACTGGGGGTGGGGCATGGGGCTGCCCCTTGCCCAGCGTGGGGCAGGAGCGGTGACTGTGGGCGCCCTCTGTGCTGGTGGAGAGTCCTGCCGGAAAAGGGAAGGGTCCGAGGCAGAAGGACAGGGGCAGCCTGCCCTGATACTAGTGGATGGGGGGTGCTAGGACCCTGTGGTGGCAGTTGATGCTGGGAGCTGGCAGAGCAGAGTGCAGGGCAGAGCTTCAGGGGGGAACCACTGGCTCGAGGAAGGGACGCTCAGGCGCCCGGAGGAGGTGGGTGGGGACTGAGGGACACTCAGGGGAGGCACGCAGAGGCGGCAGGGGCTGGGGGAAGAGACCTGGCCCCAAACATTGCTGGAATCGGGCCCCTGGGCCCTGAATATTGCTGGAGCCTGGGCACCACAGGTCCATATAACTCGCTGCCCCTGAGTAGTACTGTAGGTTAAAAACAAATTGTGCCACCAAGATATTAGACTTTGAAAAGCTGTTTACACAGAATTAAGAAGAAAACTTTTAATCAAGGTTTATTGAGTTGAAACAATTTTAGAGAAACTTCTTCAGCATGGGTCAAAAATTATATGCTGAGCATCGTTGGTGTCAATCTTAAATGGAAGTTTTGTTGGCCAGTTCATTTTTCTTCCCCTGTTCTGTCCTCTTCTCTCCTTTTCAATCTCTCCCTCTTGTTCCCATTATAACTTTACTCCATTCTGGCTCCTTCCATCCACTACAATCTATATTGATTTTCCTATATTAGCTTCTTTTTCCTCAGCTTTAGGACATTCACTGGTTTCAAGGAATGTTAGGTGCTTAGTAGATCTCATCAGAACATCTTTGCCAAAATGAAATTTTGGCAAAATATGCTGTTTCAAAGTCAGAACATTTCATGGAGACATATTTGTTTTGATTAAATTTTTGTAAGGAAGGTTTTTGGGTCCAAGGCTCTCTGGTCACATGATGGCATGAGCAAGAGAGATTACTCCAACACACTGGAGCCTGGTGATTAGGGCACCAGCCTAGGAGTGTGAGACCAGTTTCAAGTTCCTGCTCTGCTTGATTCTGAGTGATCTGGGATGAAAAACTCATTTAAAGTGTCTTAATTAGTTAAAATTCCATGAAATTGATAGGATAGTGTGGTCCACACTTCTAAGCCATTGTTTCTGGCTGTCTGCAAACTTAGGAAGATAACACTGCATCAGTTTACATTCGGTTTAAATTTTCTATGGTTATCTTTGCAACTCTGAGGATAGAATCTTTTTTCTTTAAAAAAATTAGATTTTTGGAGAAAATCAAATATTCCATGAAGGCCACATACATACATCAAATGGGCTGGATGTTTGAGACCACTGATCTACTAGATGCCTGGTCAGTACTTTCCAGAAGAGAGGAGGGAGCCACATCATGCACTAAGCTGCGTCTGCCATTCCTCTTTTCCTGGTCCCAGCTCCATCACGGTCTAGAATTGGATTTGGGGTCTACAACAGTGAAATTGGTATTTTGTTGTTTCAGGAATTCAGAAGACAGGTTTGACTTCAAAGAGGTGACTCAAAGGGAATTTCCTAACATATACCTTATGAATCCTTATGGAGGTTTGCCTCATTCCTTTCTCTGACAGCTCCAATAAAGGCACAGCCCCCAGCCTGAATAATTCTATTGTGGGTCCCAGTTATTTGTTTGGCACAGCTCACTTCTTGCACATGACTGAGTAAACTTACAGCACTAAACAACAATGGACATCTGAAGGGTGCCCTATTCCTGTAGTATTTGAACACTAATAGGCAATGAGTTAACTGTTGCAACACCCCTCAGAGGTAGTGGTGTTTTCCCTAGTTTGCAGATGAGGAAACAAGCCACATGGATGTTAAGTGAATTGCTCAAGTGAATTGGCACAAAAGAAGTGTGATGAAGTTGCAAATAGATTCCAGATCTCCTGAGTCTCAGTCCAATCTCTTAATCGTAAGGCTCACCATCACTTAAGTCCCAACACGAAGCATCTGTAAAGCTGCTTATGGCGAGCACTGCAGGTATGAAGTCAAGATGTATGTGAAAGGGACAGGCTCTCCCAACCACCAGAACTGTTCCTATGAGCTGTGAAAGCAAATCTGTCTTGTGCGAGGACGTGCAGCATTCCATCTGCAACCCTATTTGGTCTACTGCTCCTGGGGATTGGTTCAGAGGCCAGTAAACCCCAAAATGGTCAAGCAGGTGTCTGAAAAGTAACATGCTGGAACTGGTTGACTCAGTTCTGTTGGTAGCCCTAAAGTGGGCCAGACAGTTTGATATTTAGAACTTCTGGATCTGGTAAAAGAGCCAATCCTTGCTTCTGCCACCCCTTCTGGATCATCTGTTGCAACAGAATCAGATACAATCACACAGGTCTCAAGTCTTTGCAATTAGTAGTTTGGGTCACTCTTCCATGACTTTTGGAGACAGTTTTTTTTTCAGGAAAAGCTAAAAAAGTTATGTGGGAGAGTTTAGAACTATTGGCTAGAAAATCTTTTTCAGCTGAACAGGAGAGATTTTCATCTCTTGAGGCTCCTTCGCTGTAGCTGAGAAGATCAGTGACGTGAGATCTTGGGGAATTGTGGCATCCAGGAAGCACCGGGGCTTACGAATGCATAGGGACTTCACATGGGGAGACTCTTGGCTGGTGAGATGTTCCCCTTTTGGGACAAGGCATCAGCCATCTTGTTCTGGGGCCCCCGGTGGTATGTGATGGTGAAATTGGAGAGTGTAAAGAATAGGACCCAGCGAAGCTGCCTTTGTTTCAGCACTGTGGCTCGGCAGAGGTGCTCCAATATTTTATGATCTGTGTATTCCAGATAGTGATGCCATTCTTCAAAGGCTGCTTTGATGGCTAGAAGCTCTTTATCTAGAAATGCGTAGTTCTGTTTGACCAGAGTTAGCTTCCGTGAATAGTAGGCTCAAGGGTGGAGGTGCGGTCAGGGACCATGCCTTTGGGAGAGAGTGGTCCTAATTGCCACATTGGAGGCATCGGTCGCAACGACAAAGGGTGTCCTGGGTCGGGATGGACCAGGATTGGGGACACTGGTAGAGGTTGTCTTCAGCCAGTTGAATGCTTGTTGGGCCTCTGGAGACCAGGTGAAGATGGCATCAGTGTGGAGAATTGCTGTCAGTGGAGTTCTTTGGCCTGAAAACCCCGAGATAAAGCACCTATAAAAGTTAGTGAACCCCTGGAAGCGTTGTAGCTCCTTGAAGTTTTTGGAGGGCTCCCAGGTTTGTACTGCCTCCACTTTCTGGAGGTTCATTTGGAGGCCACTGGGAGACAAGAAGAGGCTGGACCCTGTCCCTGCTGAAATTTGCAGAGGGCCATCTCTGCAAAGCAGGCATGGTGGGGATTGTCAAATATGGTGGAGATTTCTTGGAGGAAGGCAATCCAGTTTGATAGCATTGGGCTCACTCATTTGAGTAGGGATGAGGCCCAGTCCAATGCATCTCCCGTCAGGAGACAAATAATGAGTCCTACTTTCACTTGGTTAGTGGGTTAAGTCTGGGGGTGGAGCAGAAACAGCAGCAGCATTGGTAAACAACCCCCTGAATTTTTGCAGTCCCCATTGAAAAGTTCTAGGAGGGATACTGGGTCCAGGTATGCGGCATTCTCATCCTGCAGCTGGGCCACCTGCTCTTGTAGCATCTGGTTGTCTGCAGAGTGCTGTGCCAGCTGGGCCCACAGTGCCATGTTTCCTTCATGGAGTTGGGTGGACTACCTGCACAGAGCTTGGTTCTCCTTTGTGAGCTGTGATAATAGGGCTGAGAGTAGCAGAGAAGTTCATAGTCAGGTCCAGGCCAGGGTCAATACCAAGGGCCAGATTCCGAGTCAGGTTTCATGGTTCAAGTCAAGAGGAGAAATTCAAATCAAGCAGAAGTCAAGTCAGGAATTCAAGGGCAAGGAGCAGGAATGGTCATAGTAGCTACAGAAGATCTGGGTTGTTGCCTGGATACTTCCTGGAATGCACATTGAGTTTATATAGGGTAGGGAGCTGATCAGGAGCCATGGGGCTGCTGTTGGTCAAACCCTTGAGGTGAAGCTTCCCAGAGTCTGTGTCCACAGTGGGTCATGGGAAGCGGAGCACAGATTGGTTACAACTGCAGCTGGGTGATGGCCTGGAGCTGTCAGCTGCCTGGTAGCTCTACAGGCCTGGGTTCTAGACCCATGGGGCCTTATTTGAAGAGCAATTCTGCAGTCATTGTTTAGTTGATACCTTCTTCAGTACCACCTCCTTGCTGGTCCTCATTGCCTGCCAGTCTCCCAAGAGGGGATCTGTATTGAACCTAGTCAAAAGAGAAAAGTTATTCACCCATAACTTGAGTTCATCAATTAGATCATCAGTATAGTTTCCCATCCCCCATCTTCGGAGTTTGTAAGACTTTGAGGAAGTGGAAGGAACCAAAAGTGTGCCAGAGCTCTGCCTCATTATATAGTCTTGCATGGAGAGTTCCATGGCTTGAGTCAGGGTCTTTCCCTTCTCCCCCTCAAACAATCAAAGCTTTCTAGTCCAGTGGCTCTCAACCTTTCAAGACTACTGTACCCCTTTCAGGAGTCTGATTTGTCTTACATACCTCAAGTTTCACCTCCATTAAAAACTCTTTGCTTACAAAATCAGACATAAAAATACAAGTGTCAAAGCACACTAGTACTGAAAAATTGCTTAATTTCTAATTTTTATTATAAAATAAATCAATTGGAATATAAATATTGTAGCCCCAGAAGACCTCTGAGTACCCACAGGGGTACGCGTATCCCTGGCTGAGAACTACTGGTCTAGAGAATTTCAGGCTCGTATGGTATGCACAGGCATATTCTAAGGGTGTGGACCTGTATATTCTTAAGGAACTCAGTTACTGGTGAGCAATTTGTTTCTGATGCTATATTGTTTTTCTACAACTATGGTACAGTAGGTTGGCTCTGCAGTGCAGTGCACACAGCAGTACAACTCTGTTTTGTCAGTAAACTAATCACGCAGGACTCAGAAGAAGAGGCTGAGGCAGAAGTTGTGTGCCATACCAAGGTATCATTTCAGAGTCACTTTCCTAGCCATAATCATATATAGTACATAAGGGGATGCTACTATTGTACAATTTGAGCTTTTATTGCATTTTGGAGCCAAACTGACTGATTCAGGAATAGATGGTTAACCGTACAGGACTGTGTCAGTAGCACGCAGTATGAATGTTTTCATTATCACTAAGCAAGCCCGTGAGCTTTCATAGTGTCTTTTTACAGGTAGAGTGCACAATGAATGTTATGAACTCTCAACCTACTACTATGTTGTTGATGTTTCTTTTTTGGGATTTTCCTCAAGGCCATGTTTGAACTGGTCACTTCTGAAGCCTCATACTACAAGAGTCTGAATCTGCTGGTGTCTCACTTCATGGAGAATGAACGTCTGAAAAAGATCTTACATCCATCTGAGGCTCACATCCTCTTCTCCAATGTCCTGGATGTCATGGCTGTTAGTGAACGGTAAGACAACTGCTATTAGTCTTTTGGCTCTGCTGAGTTGGGAACAGGGTCTTGCTACTAGCTCAGATGACTTCTGTTCTGGAGGGATAGAGGGAGCCGACTGGGTGAAGACTTAACCCCTTTTAAAGAGTCTGCAATGGTACTAATTGGTTTCCCCTCCAAACTGTTTGGGTCCAAGACTTTAATTGCAGGTCATGATTAATATGAATTCTGGTTTTCTCATCTAGTTTCCTCTTAGATCTTGAGCAGCGAGTGGAAGAGAACATTGTGATCTCAGATGTGTGCGACATTGTCTACCAGCACACAGTTAATCACTTCTCGGTGTATGTAACCTACGTCTCCAACCAGACCTACCAGGAGAGAGCTTACAAGCAACTTCTGTGAGTGCTATTATCTGACCCTGAATTATTTGCAAAAAATCCAACAACCAATTTTGTATTCAAGATGACAGCGTTTTATTTTTAACTTGGCATTTGCAGGGGATTGATACTGGTTTGGAAAACATGAGCTCTACCCTTTCCCTGAACTGGAACTGAATCTATTTAAACAAAACATACAAATAGTTTAAATTTTATTTGAAGGATCAGATAACAAGGTTGAAAACTAGCATCCTAAATACATTCAGAGTTGTCATTTACAAAGTGCAAAGAACATATAATGTATACAACAGAGCACAAAGCTGTAAAATGTGCATGTGTGTGAAGTGCAGGTAGAGGCAAAAGTTATGAAGATAAAGATAGTTGTATGATTTCAGCTTTGTGGTCCTGAGTCTAGTTACAGCGGTCTTGAGATTCTCAGAAAGGCATGTACCCTATGGAGAGTTGATAAATTCTCTTCTTGAAGGCTATAAAGCTACTTTCCCCATCTTGCCCTGGTCTTACACTATATGTAGGTCACCTGCACCAGAGGATTTTGTCCTAAGTGTTCTCTCAAGTATATTCAAATCCAGCAAATTTCTGTTAGCCAGCTGGGAATTTTCTTTTACCAGATCAAAATAGGGGACCCTAGCAATTTGTCTTTGAACAAATGAATTAATTTCTCCTTAGTAATAATGCCATGGATTTTTTTCAAGCCAACCAGTTACAGATTTTGCCCTGTACATTTCCACATTTTAGCAACAAGCATTTTAGCTAGCTTCAGATGAGTATGGAAGAGTACTGCCCCTTTCCTTTCTCTGCTCTCCAGCTCCCTCTCTTTGACCCCAAAAGGACACACTATAGACCTACGGGATCCTCTGCTACAAGGGAACTCTTTGCTGGATTTGGTAGACTGCTCTTTTCAAATGTCATGCATCCCAGTGTTTCCTGGGACAGAGGTGAGCAGTGCCTTGTGGGGCACCAGTAACACAAAGAAGTCTCAGAATATGAACAATTTGACGAGAGCAGCTGGCTGAGCCCAGAAGAGAAATAGAAGATTGGCTGGATTGTGTGATATCACTAAGGGGGCTTGTTCGGATGTGGGGTGGCTCCTGGAGAAGGCGTTTGAAGTACAGAGTCTTTGGGGTATGGGAAAGAATGATCAGTTTAAAAAACAGGATGATTTAGTCAAGCTTTAAGCAAGCAGGAAAACTTTGTAGTGCTTATCTGCTGCTGTATGTTGGAGTTTTCCCCTACATTTAGTTCTGCACTCTCTCAGGCATACAATTACAGCCTGTCTTGGATTTGGTAATTCAAGCAGTCATGCAAACATAAGAATACCTGCCTGCCTCATGAATAATTCTTTTGTTTAAATGTCTACTGTGCATTTCCAAGTACATGCATTAAAGACCAATTTCAAACAAAATTAATAGTATCCTCATATCTATGCTGTTTCTGTCAGCTAGGACTCCAGTAGCGTAAGTTTCCTCATAACAAGTTCTTGCAAGTGCCAGGAAACATCACGTAGAGGGAGCTTTCTTAGAGTAGTGTTTTGTTTATACCAGTTGGGACTTGTGAGATTCCTCACTGCAGCACTGTATTTGTACTGGCAATACCTCCACCACTGTGAACTCCAAATGGCAGAACCCTGGCAATGCCAGGTGAATCTACAGCAGTACGAACTGCTTCACTGCAGTGCCAAATAAGATGCCAGATAAGATTTTTCATCCTGTCAATAACAGCTAAGACTATCTGAGCTTGAGTTGCTTTATGGCATGGCTTGTTCCTATGAATATGTGGATTTTACCTTGCCACAATGATCCAACTGTGTAAAAATGTATAATTATGCCTCTGACTCATCTACTTGGACACACACCCCATTCATGCACTCCTACACACTCAGCATGTGCTGCTAAATCTATATGTGCTACACATGTGAATCCACTACAGTGACTTGTACATTGTCTATTTTTCCATCCCCTAATGCTATAAATAAACCCAAACTTAAACCAAAATACACCTAGGAGTGTTCAGTGAATTTATTTTCCCCTTTGTTGAAGAGAGGACTAGGCAGATGCTGTCTCTGGGGAAGGGGGTGGTATGGAAAGCAGCACCACACACAGACATGCCCATTCCAAACACAGGTCTGATACACAAGGAAGTGAGCAAAGCACTCTCAATCTGTCTGTCTATTCTCAGCCAAGACAAGACAGCTTTCCGGGAGGTGATATCACAGTTGGAGATGGATCCCAAGTGCAAAGGCCTGCCCTTCTCATCCTTTTTGATTTTGCCATTTCAGAGGATCACTCGGCTCAAGCTACTGGTGCAGGTACAGCTCCTCTCTGCTCTGTCTTCTGACAGTCCCCCATGCTCCCTCCAGGACACCCCTAGCTAGCTGTCATGGAATGTTAGCATTTTCATGTTCTCACATACACAAACAGAGACAAACACACATAATCTTCTCCCCTGCCCCCCATGTCTTACCTAGAGTCAATATTAAAGCTAGGAGAAGCAGCGTGGCATCAGGGTTTTAGAGGAGGGGAGAGGAGTGAAGTGAGGGAGTAGGGAAGTGAGGTGACAGTAGTTCAGGAAAGTGGGGCCATGCAGAGCCAGGCATGAGGAGAGGCAATGCTGGTTCAGGAGAGGAGGAAGCCTGCTGGATGAAAGGCCAGGAAGGCAGAGTGATGTAGTCAGAGGAGCGTGCACATGTATGATTAGGGTGCAGAATAGACAGATTCATGTAGAATCAGGGTTGGTGCAGAGTCAGGTCTGTGGGACACAGGAAGTGGGAGGACAAGAGCTGAAGGGATTAATGGAGAAAAGCCACTTAAGACTCAACTCAGTATTTTCTTTTATAGGAAACTGCCCCGAAAGGAAATTACTAAATAGCCAAGGACACTCTTCTCAAAATAAAAGTGATGCAATAGTCCCCTTCCTCTCTCACACATACATCTGAAACCTCTGCACAGCAGCATCCCTCTACCCTAAGAGCCAGGCATTTATTTATGAGCACCAAATGTCTCTTCACACGGTTTCACTGGTGCTTCCCCAGTACTTACCTGAAGAGACCACCTTGTCTTGGGCTGAGTGTGTGTAAATGTGTTTGTGACAATGTAATGCTTGAGAGGAGTTGTAGTGGTGGCCAGCCTTGGAAATCTCTATCCACAGAACAAGTCCAACAGTGGTTGTCATCCCCTCATTGCCTTCCAGTGTACCTCAACCCTGCCCTGGAGGGCTCCCTTCTAATGATGAGGGGATAGTTCAATCTGAGTGACATGCTGTCGACTGAGATTACCAACAACGTTACCAATTGTTGCCAGGTTGAGTGGCTTTTAATAAAATATGCGCTTGTCCACTAGCTACTGGTCTGAGACCATGACACTCATTTTACATAGGTTATTCAATAGCCAGTTGATGGAAACAGCTTTCAGTTACTGCCAATATGGGGTTAGATCTGACTCAGCAACCTAGTGGGGAAAGACTTCATATACCGTTACCTATCCAATATTTATTACTGTTGATAGTCAAATTTGGCCAAGAGGATGGTAGTGTCTGAAAAATGTTGTGTACTATCAAGCAGGGAGAGAAATTAACTCCACCTTTGCTTCCTGTGCAGAATATTCTTAAAAAAGTGGAAGAGAAATCCGAGAAGGAAACCACTGCCCTTGAAGCACACAAAGAGCTGGAAACAGTAAGTCTGATGGCAAATTTCAGAAGACTGAGAATTAGCCAGCATCCTCAGTGTCTTTAAAAAGGTACTGGGCCATATGCATTCCTGGTGCAATTCCACTGACCTCAGAGGAGTTACATCAGAGATACATTTGCCTCATTGTGTTTCAGAGTAATTATTTCCCCTTATTCTCCCCTGAGGGCAGACCATGATAGCAAATAATAGACAGAGGAATTGCTCTTATTAACAGACTGTATATTTGCTCTGTAGGAGATTTTAGAGAGAAGAGTTGCCCGCACGTTTCAGAGAATACAAATTGTCTATGGGGAGATATATTTAATTAGCTGCAGCCAGTAGTGGACTGTATGGGGTTGGATTTTATCCTGTGGTGCCACTTACTTTTCTTACCTAGAATAGTAGTTTCTTTAATGAGGTGCTTTTTATGAGTGCTTAAGATTGTGTGCATTTCTGTTCCCAAGAGGCCTATAGGGCAGTGTGATAGAGAGGGGAAATTCAATTATTTTAGTTATTTCCAGCACACTACCTGCCAGAGTACACATTATGGGGAAGGCCTAGTGATGTCTTCCACCTGGGATATTCTGATGGTGGGTGAGGGTCCTCTTACTCTGTCTATATGGGGCAGTATATGTGAGGACCTCTGTGCTAAATGTTTAGACATCCTGAAACTTTCTGCAGCTCTGTTTGTTGGGGATAGAATTTTCCAGGGTATTTGAGACATTTGACAGGTGCCACTCCCTTCTTTATTAGTAGGAGTCTGTGGTACTTAATGAATCCTGGATTGTGATTTAAATAAAATATAATGTTTTAAATTTGAAGCTGTGCTAAAATGTCAGCTTTCCAGTTGATGGTGCAGTGTCAGATTTGTAAAATCTAGGGCTGTCGATTAATCACAGTTAACTCATGCGATTAACTCAAAAAAATTAATTGCAATTAATCACAGTTTTAATCGCACTGTTAAACAATAGAATACCAATTGAAAATTAAATATTTTGGATTTTTTCTACATTTTCATATAGTTTATTCTGTGTTGTAATTGAAATCAAAGTGCATATTTTTTATTACAAATATTTGCACTGTAAAAATGATAGTAGTGTTTTTCAATTCACCTCATCCAAGTACTGTAGTGCAATCTCTTTGTTGTGAAAGTGCAACTTGCAAATGTAGATTTTTTTTGTTACATAATTGCACTCAAAAACAAAATAATATAAAACTTCAGAGCCTACAAGTCCACTCAGTCCTACTTCTTGTTCAGTCAATCGCTAAGACAAACAAGCTTGTTTACATTTACAGGAGATACTGCTGCCCTCTTCTTATTTACAGTGTTACCTGAAAGTGAGAACAAGCATTCACATGGCACTTTTGTAGCCGGTATTGCAAGATATTTACAGGCCAGATATGCTAAACATTCATATGCCCCTTCATGCTTCGGCCATCATTCCAGAGGACACGCTTCAATACTGATAACACTCATTAAAAAAATAATGCGTTAATTACATTTTTGATTGGACTCCTTGGGGGAGAATTGTATGTCCCCCTGCTCTGTTTTACATGCATTCTGCCATATATTTCATGTTATAAGAGTCTCAGATGATGACCCAGCACATGTTGTTCATTTTAAGAACACTTTCACTGCAGATTTGACAAAACGCAAAGAAGGTACCAATGTGAGATTTCTAAAGATAGCTACAACACTCGACCCAAGGTTTAAGAATCTGAAGTGCCTTCCAAAATCTGAGGGGAACAAGGTGTGGAGCATGCTTTCAGAAGTCTTAAAAGATCAACACTCCGATGTGGAAACTACAGAACCCGAACCACCAAAAAAAGAAAATCAACCTTCTGCTGGTAGCACCTGACTCAGATAATGGAAATGAACATACATCAGTCCGCACTCCTTTGGATCATTATTAAGCAGAACCCCTCATCAGCATGGACGCCTTTTCTTCTGGAATGGTGGTTGAAGCATGAAGGGACATACGAATCTTTAGTGCATCTGGCACGTAAATATCTTGGGATGCCGGCTACAACAGTGCCATGAGAATGCCTATTCTCACTTTCAGCTGATATTGTAAACAAAAAGCGGGCAGCATTATCTCCTGCAAATGTAAACAAACTAGTTTGGCGGAGCTATTGGCTGAACAAGAAGTAGGACTGAGTGGACTTGCAGGCTCTAAGATTTTACATTATTTTATTTTTGAATGCAGGTTTTTTTTGTACATATTATACATTTGTAATTTCAACTTTCATGGCAAAGATTGCACTACAGTACTTGTATTAGATGAATTGAAAAATGGTGGGGGTTTTTTTTACAGTGCAAATAATTGTAATGAAAAATAAATATAAAGTGAGCACTGTACACTTTGTATTCTGTGTTGTAACTGAAATCAATATATTTGAAAATGTAGAAAACATCCAAAAATATTTAAATAAATGGTATTCTATTATTGTTTACCAGTGCAATTAATCGTGCAGTTATTTTTTTAATCATGC